ATATCAAGCGTGTGCATCAGGACTTCAGGACGTCGCAGCAAGCAACGAACTTGCAGTTGGAGACGCAGGTCCAGGCTGCTGCCACCATGACGCCCGCCGCCGCATCCTCCCGGCGCCCACCCAAAATGGATGACATTCCAGTTTTCTATGATCAGTCCAAGACGGAACCGATCCCGTGGTGGCGCCAGTTTACTCTCAGGCTCGACATGCACCATGTCCCGAACAACAATCGACATCCGTGCTTGTACCACCGATCTGGTGGTGCGTGTCAAGCATGGCTGGACAACATCTTGACCAGCCACGGCGTAGCAGTGTCGGAACTGCACACCAAGCTCACTTGGCAGGAGTTGCCTGGCACAAGCGATTCCAAGTGGAGCCGCCCGACCTGCAAGCGATCGACAAGCTCAACAAACTCCATCAGAACACGCTTCTCAGTCAGGACTGGATTACCAAGTTCCAAAGACTCGCCTCCACACCTGACATGTCGCTCGCATTCCACGCGTGTCCAGCTCTGCAAAACGCGCTGACGCAGATTGCAGAGACACGACACATCTGACAAGCTTTTCAGCACAGCGTCACGGATCATTCTCACGAATATCGAAGCCCGCAACGCCGACCGATCTTCCGCGATGACGAGCGGCACCCAGCCCAAGCCAAAGGTGGCTTGCATTACTTCTACCGAGGCTGCAACACCAAACGAGGGTGAGTGTTGGCAGCTGCCCGGGATGGTGGCCGGCCGCGCAACAACCACGACCGCGACAAGACGAAGACTCAGTCCACCTCTACACCGAGCATCGGATCAGCCGCCGACGAACCTTGGGCACAATACGGACTCTCGACGAATTCTTATCGCACGAGACTCAAGTACCGTTACTGCCTTTGGTGCAACAGCACCATCCACGATGCTGCACATTGCCCTACCAAGGGGAAACCCCGTCAGGGAAAGTAGGCGCCGCCGAGGGTGACTCAACACCTCCCTCGACGCCATCGGAAGCGGATGTGCGCACGACCGCCCTTTCTTCCGAGGCATATGCGGATGTCGGGAGTCTTCCACTTTCGTTCGAAGACTTCGCTGCCCGGCTCGTTCCTTCACTAGATGCTTCTCAAGGACAAGATACATGTGCGGCTTTCTCATTGTCCGGAGGTTACTCCGCCACTTCGTCTTCATGAAGGGATTCGGCAAGCGCGTTCAACGAGGAGGTCTTGGACCCGCTCACGCCCGAGGACTTCGCTTGGATTCCTCTCCCTACGACGGGCAACCTTCCGGGGCCGCAAAGCGCAGCACTATGC